GGGGAGTGAGTTCCAGAGTCGAGGGGCCACCACCGAAAAAGCCCTCTCCCTCGTCCCCACCAATCGCGCTTGCGATGGAGGTGGGAGCATGAGCAGGGCCTCTCCAGATGATCGAAGAGATCGTGTGGGTTCGTATACAGAAATGTGGTCATGCAGGTAGGCGGGTCCCAAACCGTTTAGGGCTTTGTAGGTAAGAACCTGCACCTTGAATTGGGACCGGAAAATGAATGGCAGCCAGTGGAGCTCCTGGTGCTCCCTGTAAGGAGCACCAGTTAACAGCCTGGCAGCCGCCCGTTGAACCAATTGAAATTTCCTGGCCGTTTTCAAGGGCAGCCCCACGTAGAGTGCATTACAGTAGTCCAATCTGGAGGTGACTAAGGCATGGACCACCCCGGCCATTTGAATACTCTCTTCCCCAGTTTTATATTTTCCTACCAATCAGTCAATATCCTTGCTACTAAGAATGCTCGGTCCTCATTTGACTGATTTTTGGATCCTTCACAACCCCCATAATGTCTTTTTATTTATTTATTTATTTATTTACTATACTTGTATACCGCCTTTCTCAGCCTTTTTGGCGACTCAAGGTGGTTTACAGCAAGTGAGTACTCATAACAACAAAATACAAAATAAACATTAAAACAGTATAAAACCACAATAGAAGCAATAAAAACAATAAAAACCAACATCATTACCACCAGCGTCTCATAGTTAAATAATGTTGTCCGAGTTCTATTTTCGAGTGATTCAATTTCCTATGTCAGTTACTCTTCATATGTAAACGCTTGCTCATATAACCATGTCTCAACTTGTCTCCGAAAGGTTAAGAGTGAGAGAGCCGATCTAATCTCCTTAGGGAGGGCGTTCCATAGCCGAGGGGCCACCACAGAGAAGGCCCTGTTTCTCGTCCCCCAAACATACTTGTGATGAGGGCGGGATCCAGAGCAGGGCCTTCCTGGATGATCTTAAAGTCTTAGATGGTTCATAAGGGGAGATGCGTTCGGACAGGTAAATTGGGCCAGAACCGTTTAGGGCTTTATAGGCTAAAACCAGCACTTTGAATTGTGCCCAATAGCAGACTAGCAGCCAGTGGAGCTGGCTCCCTATTATATAAAACACAGCGCTCCCAGGCTCAGCCTTAAAAATGTTTTTCTTTAAAAGCCGTCAAAGGCAACCCCACGTAGAGCGTTGCAGTAGTCTATACAGGATGTAACCAGAGCATGGACTACCATGGCATATGATTAGATTATTTTTCGTGTCAGGGCAACCAGTCAATTATATTACATTTCTAACAGAACAAAGCAAACAAACAGACAGAATACAAAATTTGTGAGTTTGGTAGTTGATTAAATGTCCTTTGACCAGTATCTGGCCACTTGGAGTGCTTCTGGTGTTGCTGCAAGAAGGTCCTCCATTGTGCATGTGGCAGGGCTCAGGTTGCATTGCAGCAGGTGGTCAGTGGTTTGCTCTTCTCCACACTCGCATGACGTGGATTCCACTTTGTAGCCCCATTTCTTAAGGTTGGCTCTGCATCTCGTGGTGCCAGAGCGCAGTCTGTTCAGCGCCTTCCAAGTCCCAGCAGGGAGTGTGCCCAGTGGGAAGTCTCTCATTTGGTATCAGCCATTGGTTGAGGTTCTGGGTTTGAGCCTGCCACTTTTGGACTCTCGCTTGCTGTGGTGTTCCAGCGAGTGTCTCTGTAGATCTTAGAAAACTATGTCTTGATTTAAGTCGTTGAGGTGCTGGCTGATACCCAAACAAGGGATGAGCTGGAGATGTCTCTGCCTTGGTCCTTTCACTGTTTGCTGCTACTTTCCAGCGGATGTCAGGTGGTGCAATACCGGCTAAGCAGTGTAATTTCTCCAGTGGTGTGGGGCGCAGACACCCCGTGATAATGCGGCATGTCTCATTAAGAGCCACATCCACTGTTTTAGTGTGGTGAGATGTGTTCCACACTGGGCATGCATACTCATGCATACTCAGCAGCAGAGTAGCACAGCGCAAGGGCAGATGTCTTCACTGTATCTGGTTGTGATCCCCAGGTTGTGCCAGTCAGGTACGGGTGCAGCTGGCGCACAAGTTTTAACTGTGCAAATGCTCCCCTGGTAACTAGCAAAACCTTTTCCTCCCCAACGAAACATTTTATTGTCCCTATTCTACCTTTCAGTGACTAAGTTTGGTATTAGTATGTAGCATTATATTTTAAAGCTTTGTGTTTTGTTCTCATCCTCCCACCCCACTTCCCCACCCATTGCTATTTTCCTCCGATATCGTTTAATTTGTATGGCAAACCCATTACCTATGGGATTTATCAAGTAAATCATGACAGGATTATGAGAAGATCCTGTCTCATTTCTTGGTATTATCCCAAAGCAGGTGGCTCTTGACTTGGGTGGGTTTTGCCGTGTTTGTTTCTCCTTCTGCGAGGGACATGCACAAATATTGTGGTGTTTCAAAGTCAAAAAATAGACATACTTGCCCGATTGTGTGTGTGTGTTTTTTTCCCTAGGCAAAGCATTATGCATGTGCATGAACAATTCTGCATCTAAGACAAACTGACACATCCAGGGATAAATTGATCACAGACAGCTAAGCTTGTGGTTAACTTTTTCTGGTAAAATAGTTGATTTTTATGACAGCATAAATTTCCAGGAAATTATGCCTTGATGGTGAAAAGTAAAATTTCCCAGCTATTTTCCGACTCAAGAGATGGCTTTTGTGGCTAGGCAACTGAGAATAACCCCCATATCAGTAAGAAATTGGAGGGATTTGCATTGTGAAATAAGTGGGTATTTCATTTGGGATAAACCAAATTTGAGTTGCTGTGGGTTTTTCAGGCTGTATAGCCATGTTACAGAAGCATTCCCTCCTGATGTTTCTCCCACATCTATGGCAGGCATCCTCAGAAGTTGTGAGGTCTGTTGGAAACTAGGAGAGTTAGGTTTATATATCTGTGGAATAATGTCCAGGGTGGGAGAAAGAGCTTTTGTCTGTTTGAGGCAAGAATAAATGTTGCTATTGGCTACCTTGATTAGCATTTAATGGCCTTGTAGCTTCAAAGCCTGGCTGATTGCTGCCTGGGGGATCCTTTGTTGGGAGGTATATAGAGTAAAATAATAAATGTAATAATAATACAGAGATTAAAATAATAAATGTAATAATAATACCGAGAGTAAAAAATAAAATGTAATAACAATAATAAATAAATGTCCAGGGAAGGAGAAAGAAATCTTGTCTGCTTGAGGCAAGTGTGCATGTTGCAGTTGGGCATCTTAATTAGCATTTAATGGCCCTGTAGCTTCAAGGCCTGGCTGCTTCCTGCCTGGGGGGATCCTTTGTTGGGAGGTGGTTAGTTGTCCCTGATTATTTCTTGTCTGGAATTCCCCTCTTTTGTGTGTTGCTCTTTCTTTACTGTCCTGATATTAGATTTTTTTAAAAAAAAAATATTGGTAGCCAGATTTTGTTCATTTCCAAGATTTCCATTCAGGGTCATCAAGTAGATTTTCATGACCAAGCAAGGATTCGAACCCCAGTCCTCCAGAGTTATATTCCAACACTAAATCCACTGCAACATGGCTTTAAAAGATAACCTATCTTTTAAAGCCTCAGTACAGAATGAGGAGCGTGATGTATTCCCACTTTCTTCAAACAGCTAAATGTCTTGGCTTGGAACTAGCCTTGCATGTGAAATGGATTTAGTAACCCCCCCTCCCCCTTCAAAAAAAGTCCTGCTCCTCTAGCCATTTGTTCCAAAGGCATAAACTATGTCCTTCCACAATATGTTGACCTTCATGCTCAGCTTTGAAAAGTAGTCTTTGGACTCTGGTTCCCAGCATTCTCCAACCACCATGAACATTGGACATAAAAGCAAGTAGTTCTTTACACAATGCAGAGTTAAACTGGCCATGCTGGCTTCTGAAAGTCATAAATCCAAAAGAGTAACTTCTCAGAGCTCTGTTTTCATGTTGTTCTGCCCACACCGTTGTGTGTCATCCACACAAGTGTAGCTATATAGTTACCGGTGTTCATGTTGAGTTGTGCCAACGTTGTCAGACATAAAGATGGCAAAGGAGGCATTGCGTGGGCATTGGATGGATTTCTTTCATCACGTTGCTCAGCCTTCACTTTTCTCCTCCTGGCAGTGTGCACAAGTTCATTGGATAGATTTTGGTGCATTCCCTGTTGGTGGCATTTAAAGGGTGCCAGTTGATTTCTCAAGACGTGTGTCATCGTGTGAATATAGGGGCTTGGCATATGCGGGATACACAACTGCAGTGGTCTTTTGATCAGAGTGCTTTGCCTGTTTCTTCAGCTGTGATGCTCTTGGCAGGCAGACCGCAGGTGAAGGGCCAAGGAAAACGCTCAATGCGCCTTGTACCTTTCCGGCTGGTCCCTGTGCCATTCTGCACACCCAGACGTGCTTTTCTCTCCAGGTCATAGTTATTTGATGGTGGGTTTTGATTTACTTATTAATCCTCCCACATCTTAATGACTCCTCTTTGGTCTGAAAAAGGCTCTGCTTTAAGTAAGCATTCATAAATTTTTTTCTGTTTTATTGCTTGGCATGTGTTTCTTGCAGCTTGTGCCATGAGTGCCATCTTGTGGCACGTCTCCTCATTGTGATTTTTCCACCTCTATCAGCCTGCCACGGCTCTACTGGCATACCATTAATAGAAAGGACATTTTGGGGTGTTGTATCAACGTGAAAATCCTCCACCAACATAACCTTGTTGGGCTAGGCTTTTCTTCAAGGAACTTAAATGCTTGCAAAGGATTTTGAGCTTTCTTTCTGTATATTCAGCTCACACTGTTCTTGCCAGGTTCCTTAGGGAATACACTAAGGATTTTCAGTTTCAGCCAACTGGTTTGCAGAATATGTCGGAAAGGTGGTATAATGGTATAAAGTGTGAAGTATCTTTGCATTATTAATATTTTAAGTATGTGCATTGCTAACACGTAGCTAAGAAACCTCCCTCTCTCTTCCATCTCTCTTCCTTCCACAGTGTTCCCAACTCGTGCCCGGCCAGTCCCCGCGGTGCTGGCTCCTCAGGATACCGTTTTACCCACAACGTTACCTCGGACCTGCAGCTGGCGGCTGAATATGCAGCAAAGGCTACGTCGGAGCAGCAGGCAGATGCGTCAGGTGGAGACAGCCCAAAGGTGTGTTCCAAGAAGCTAGACTCTTCTGTCTACCTATTTCCAACCACTGTGGTTTTTTAGTCCATTTTCTTCATGAGCTCAAGGCAGGTCCACAGATCTCCACTTCCTAAATTGTTATACCCACAGCAAGAAAGAGTGACTTGTGCATGATAACCCCTTTCTTGTTTGAATACCCTGTAGACCAGGACTTCTCAACCTAAGGCTGTGGTTCTCAACCTGTGGGTCCCCAGATATTTTGGACTTTAACTCCCAGAATTCCTAACAGCTAGTAAACTGGCTGGGATTTCTGGGAGTTGTAGACCAAAACACCTGGGGACCCACAGGCTGAGAACCACTGGCCTAAGGTGTCCCTACGGCAAACCTGTCACAGATTTTCTTGGCAAGATATGTGTGGGAGGGTACCTTCACCTTCCTCTGAGGCTGAGAGAGTGACTTGCTTGGTTTCTGATGGGTGGTTAGGCTTATTAAGAAAAGACAATCCCAATAAATACATAGCAGAGTAACTTATTAGCAGCAGTGTCACCCAGCACCAGTAGCCCAAAGTGAAAAAAGGGCAAAAACACAGAGACCAATGTTATATCTTCTACAGGAGGCTTTTTTTGTAGTAAAATAATATGTTTGCACTATTTACAAAAACAAGGTTTCTATAATACAAATAAAGTTCTTTATACTTCCTCCTTAGCTTCAAGGCTTCTTTCTTATGCAGATAAACATCTTTGCTCTCACAGAGCCTCTTCTCACACCAAACTTACATAGGAGTTTCACACAGTAACTTTACACACAGCAGCCTTCACACACTGAAGCTTCACACACAATGGCCTTTAACCTGTGGCTTCCTCTCACTGAAGCTTCTCACACTGAGGCCTATTAACACACTGAGACTTTCCTCCCACTGAGGCCTCTCTCACACAGGCTTCTCTCACACTGAGACCTTTTCCCTACTGAGGCAAACTAACACTGAGGCCTTCTCATACTGAGGCCTACTAACACACTGAGGCCTTCCTCCCACTGAGGTCTCTCTCACACAGGCTTCTCTCACACTGAGACCTTTCCCCCACTGAGGCAAACTAACACTGAGGCCTTCTCATAGTGAGGCCTACTAACACACTGAGACCTTTCTCCTACTGAGGCTTCTCTCACACAAGTTTTTCTCACACTGAGACCTTTCCCCACTGAGACAACTAACACTGAGGCCTTCTCATACTGAGGCCTACTAACACACTGAGGCCTTTCTTCCACAGGGACCTCACACAGACTGAGGGCTCTCTCCCACTGAGGCCTACCTCACACTGAGGGCTCTCTCACTGAGGTCTGCTAACACTGAGGGCTTCTAAGCTACAGGCACACATGCTTTTATAGAACTACAGCTTTTGCTGAGTCATTGCACCCATTTAACCCTTTCTGTGCTTAACTCACATTTTTGTAATTAAAAATACCTAGTTAGTTTTTTATACCTCTTGACCAAACATGGAGCCCCCTGTTGTGCAATGGGTTAAATCCTTGTGCTGGCAGGACTGCTGACCGAAAGGTCAGCGGTTCAAATCCAGGGAGCAGAGTAAGGCCAATAGCAAGGTGCTATGGGAATCAAAGTTCAAAACATTTGGTGAGTCAACACTCCAGACTACGTGGAGGGAACCACTAAAATTATTCTTTGCAGACAAATAATAACTTAGTGCAGTGGTCTGAGCGTTATAACTCTACAGAGCAGATTTTGGATTCCTGCTTGGTCTTTTATATATATACTAGCTGTCCCCTGCCACGCGTTGCTGTGGCCCAGTCTAGTGATCTGGAAAATAAAGTAATGAAAACGTTTTGGTTTCTAATATATGTAATTTCTTTCTGCTTGTTTGTAAACAGTATTTGATTACGTTTTCTTGCCCTGGTGAAGGGAGTTGGACTGGATGGCCTTAAGTATTTTCTGTTGGTCTTGGGAGTTCTGTGTGGGAAGTTTGCCCCAATTCAGGCGTTGGTGGAGTTCAGAATGCTCTTTGATTGTAGGTGAACTATAAATCCCAGCAACTACTATTCCCAATTGTCAAGGTCTATTTCCCCCAAACTCCATGTATGTTCATATTTGGGCATATGGAATATTCGTGCCAAGTTTGGTCCAGATCCATCATTGTTTGAGTCCACAGTGCTCTCTGGATGTAGGTGAACTACAACTCCCAAACTCAGGGTCAATGCCCACCAAACCCTTCCAGTATTTTCTGTTGTTCATGGGAGTTCTGTGTGCCAAGATTGGTTCAATTCCATCATTGGTGGAGTTCATAATGTTCTTTGATTGTAGGTGAACTATAAATCCCAGCAACTACAACTCTAAAATGTCAAACTCATTTTTTTTGTGTGAAGGACATACATTGGGTTGTTAGGTGTACGCTGTCCAAATTTGGTGTCAGTTCCCCCAGTGGTTTTTGAGTTATGTTAATCCCACAAACAAACATTACACACACACATATTTTCATTCATTCCAGATGGGAGCTCACTCTGCTCCTCGGATTCGAACTGCCGACAATCAAACAGGGCCAGCTAACACCTCCCAACAAAGGATTCCCCAGGCCACAACCATTCAGGCTTTGAATCTGCAAGGCCATTAAATGCTAATCAATGTGGCCAATTGCAGAATTCACACTTGCCTCCAACAGACAAGAGTTCTTTCTCCCGCCCTGGACATCATTCCACAGATATATCAACCTCACTTGCCTAGTTTCCAACAGACCTCGCAACCTCTGCAGATACCTGCCATAGAGGTGGGTGAAACATCAGTAGAGAATGCTTCTGGAACATGGCCAGACAGCCTGGAAAACTCACAGCAACCTAGTGATTCCGTCCATGAAAGCCTTCGACAACACATTTAAAAAGACTAGTTCCACCACAACTCTTTGCGCTTGTGTTCAGGGAGAATTGGCCCAAGAAGCACAAAGAGAAATTGGAAATTTCCATGTTGGGCAGAACAGTTTTGGGATTTTTGTTTGCCTGCTTGTTTCTTGGTCTTACCTTGAAAGGCATCTGGATAGTTGGCGCCTACCTTGTTAGAAAAGCTCCAACCTAAATCATTAATGAACTGTGAAGCTGCTAAAAACTCCCCTGTGCGTCTGTGTTTGTGTTGTCTGTCTGCAGGACGAATCCAAGCCGCCATATTCCTATGCCCAGCTAATTGTTCAAGCTATCTCGTCAGCCCAGGACAAGCAATTAACACTAAGTGGGATCTATGCCCACATCACCAAGCATTATCCTTATTACCGGACAGCTGATAAAGGCTGGCAGGTAAGGCTCGCACGGGAAGCTCTGCAAGAATGTGACTCTCGTTCGTTTGCTGGCTTTGGGATAACCCTCTTTTTCCTTCCGCTCCCTGCAGAATTCCATTCGGCACAACCTCTCCTTGAACCGTTATTTTATTAAAGTCCCACGTTCTCAGGAGGAGCCGGGAAAGGGCTCTTTTTGGCGCATCGATCCTCCCTCAGAAGGCAAACTGGTGGAACAGGCATTCCGAAAACGGAGACAGAGGGGGGTATCCTGCTTCCGAACCCCTTTTGGGCCTCTTTCCTCCCGGTAAGTTTGGTTGGAGAGCAGGACAAGAGCCATCTCCTGCTCCACTGTAGGAGGAAGCCGCCCTTCTCTCTGTCCCACCATTGCCACAGCTACAAGGGACAGGGTCTTCTTGATGGCTGCTCCCAGACTCTGGAACTTGCTTCTAAGGGTGCCTTGACACTGGAGAGTCAATGCACTGTATATACTCGAAGATAAAAGGAGTTTTTCAGCCCTCTTTCTGAGCTGAAAAAACCTGCCTTGGCTTATAATGGGCTCAAGGCCGGACAGCGGAGCCTAGAGACCATTGCTTTCAATATATAATAATAATCATCATCATCATCTTTATTTATACCCCGCCACCATCTCCCCAATGGGGACTTGGAGCGGCTTACATGGGGCCAAGCCCGGACAACATATTTATTTATTTATTTATTTAAAACATTTCTATTCCGCCCTTCTCACCCCCTGGGCACAGATTCACATACAATACATGAACATTAAAAACCATTTATCAAAATATTAAAATACACCATTTAAAATCGACCTAGTAATCCGCATTAAATCATTGGCCTGGTCATCTTTCCTATTACATTCATATAATAATAATAATAATAATAATAATAATACTTTATTTGTACCCCGCTACCATCTCCCGAAGGACTCGGTGCGGCTTACAAGAGACCGAGCCCAAATACAACAATAAAAACAACAGCAACAACACAATAACTCAAAAAACAAAGCAATAACATTAACAACTGCCAACGACGCAATTAAAAACAATGGCCGGGCCAAATGTAATAATTAAAATTAAAAGTGCTGGGCATGACAGGTGGGGTGGTTAGAGGGGGATGGGCATGCAGATATCCTGGATCTCTGATAAAGTGCGTTGGGACATAATGCTAGGAGTTTCCTTATTCTGGAAAGGCACACTGGAACAATCACGTTTTCAAGCTCCTCCTAAAGATTGCTAGTGACGGGGCCTGCCTGATGTCCTTAGGGAAAGAGTTCCAGAGTCAAGGGGCCACCACCGAGAAAGCCCTATCCCTCGTCACCACCAATCGCGCTTGCAATGATGGTGGGATTGTAAGCAAGGCCTCTCCAGATGAATGAAGAGATCGTGTGGGTTCGTACATAAATAAACTCATAAGCAGAAAATAAGCAATAAATATTAACAATAACACGACGCATTTAAAAACCTATGGCTTGGCCAAATGTAATAATTAAAATTTTAAAAATAATGCTGGGCATGACAAGGTGACATATAACTAGGATAGAAGGATATGAATATTCATATTCGTATTACAGCAAAATAAAACCAAAACATAAACAACAAGCAACATCATCAAAATTACATTACAAAAAAAAATTGACATATTTCTCTCTCCTCTTCCCCTCCCTTGACAGTGTGTTTCCTTTTCCAGTCAAAAGGGAGGGAAGGAGGGAAAGGCGATATATTTCATGTCCTCCTTGTTTTTATGGCTTTCTTCCAAAACCACCCAATTTCCTGGATTTTTTTGTGTGTGTATCTAAATGTATTAACTTTCTATGTGCATTTTTGTTCCCGTGGAAGTCTTCCTCTCCTATGTTTGCAGGTCTTTGCAAATCCTATATACATATAGATATCTGGAGATTTCCATGTACCTCTATACCTGTATATATACATTATTTTTATTTGAATTTTCCCCTCACATGTTTGCAAGTCTCTGCAAATCCTATATAGATACAGATATCGATAAATATATAAAGGTACTTATATATCTCTGTGTGTATATATATGTGTGTGTGTGTGTGTGTATGTATGTAAAAATAATTTTATATATGTTTGCAAATTTTTGCAGATCTTATATAGATATAATTATCTATATAGAGAGAGATATCTAAATATATCTGAATAAAGATATATAGGACTTGCAAATATTGCACAAGGGCGATGCACATGTAGCGAGAGAGAATTGGCAAACGTTTCAGGGGGCAATGCATATGTGAAATTAGTATATATAATTATATATCTTTATCTAGCTCTGCATTGTTTAGATAGGCATTGAATGTTTGCCTGTTACTCTGTTGGATGCTGGCCTGAGTCCCCATGGGGAGATAAGGCACGATACAAATGTATTATTATTATTATTACTAGCCATCCCCTGCCACGCATTGCTGTGGCCCACATGGGGGTTCTGTGTGGGAGGTTTGGCCCAATTCTATCGTTGGTGGGGTTCAGAATGCTCTGTGATTGTAGGTGAACTATAAATCCCAGCAACTACAACTCCCAAATGTCAAGATTCTATTTCCCCCAAACTCCACCAGTGTTCACATCTGGGCATATTGAGTATTTGTGTTGCGTTTGGTCCAGATCCATCATTGTTTGAATCCACAGTGATCTCTGGATGTAGGTGAACTACAACTCCAAAACCAAAGCACACTGCCCACCAAACCCTTCCAGTATTTTCTGTCTGTCATGGGAGTTTTGTGTGCTAAGTTTGATTCAATTCCATAATTGGTGGCGTTCAGAATGCTCTTTGATTGTAGGTGAACTATAAATCCCAGCAACTACAACTCCCAAGTGACAAAATCAAAAAATTTTGAGTGAAAGACATACATTGGTTTGTTAGGTGTCTTGTGTCCAAATTTGGTGTCAATTCGTCCAGTGGTTTTTGAGTTTGTTAATCCCACAAACGAATATTACATTTTTATATATATAGATTATTATTATTATTATTATTATTATTATTAAAAAGTTGATACCATATTGTTTTTGTTGACCCTCCTTTTCCACTTACAATGCCAGTTTATCGCATAGTAAATATTCAAAAACATTTAACCTCCTGATACGTCCGTTAATGTAATTTTATTAGTATCTATTTTTATTTTTGAAATTTACAGTAGCAGCTGCATTTCCAACCTCCAACTTAGACTCGAGTCAATATGTTTTCCCAGTTTCCTCGGCTTAAATTCGGGTCGGCTTATTCTCGAGTATATACAGTTTGATATGCTTAGTTCTGTGAAATTCTGGGAATTGTCATTTTCCAAAGAGTCCTGTATGTCACCAAACTATGCCCATCATGCTGGCATCCAAATGTTGTCATCTTTGGTAAGCTAACGGTGACTTTCCCCTTGGACGGTGCCTTCCAGGAGTGCCCCTGCGTCCCCCACTCATCCTGGCTTGCTGTCTCCTCACACAAGTGGCCTCCAGACCCCAGAGTGCCTGTCGAGGGAGGGCTCACCCATTCCACATGATCACGACTTTGGTTCAAAGCTAGCCTCCGTTCCAGAGTATCGGTATTCACAAAGTGCACCTGGTAAGTAATTCCTTTGCATGAGAGAATTCTTGCGGTTGGCAGACTTCCTGGTTGAACCTGGAATTCCATTCGACTTTTTTTTTATTTATCGTGTCAGGGGCAACCGGACGATTGTATTACATTTCTAACAGAACAAAAACAAACAAACAAACAGACACAAAACAAAATTTGCAAGCTTGGTAGTTGATTAAATGTCCTTTGACCAGTGTCTGGCCACTGGGAGTGCCTCTGATGTTACTATAAGAAGGTCCTCCCTTGTGCATGTGACAGGGCTCAGGTTGCATTGCAGCAGGTGGTCAGTGGTTTGCTCCTCTCCACACTCGCATGTCGTGGACTCCACTTTGTGGCCCCATTTCTTGAGGTTGGCTCTGCATCTCGTGGTGCCAGAGCGCAGTCTGTTCAGCGCTTTCCAAGTTGCCCAGTTTTCTGTCTGCCCAGGGGGGAGTCTCTCATTTGGTATCAGCCATTGGTTGAGGTTCTGGGTTTGAGCCTGCCACTTTTGAACTCTCGTTTGCTGAGGTGTTCTAGCGAGTGTCTCTGTAGATCTTAGAAAACTATGTCTGGATTTAAGTCGTTGACGTGCTGGCTGATATCTCTCTTTTTGAAAAGCTTGAATTCAGAGCTGCTTGGATTAGGATCTTCACTTCTGACCAATTTCCTCCCATTTCCTCTTCCTTTCCCCCAGGCTCGCCTGTAAGTGCCCAGCCGGTAATCATGGCAGTCCCTTCTCGGCCCTCAGCCCTCATGGCCAAGCCAGTGGCCTACATGCCGGCCTCCATTGTGACCTCCCAGCAGCCTTCGGGCCATGCCATTCATGTGGTCCAGCAAGCCCCGACGGTCACCATGGTCCGGGTCGTGACCTCCTCTGCAAACTCTGCAAATGGATACATCCTGACCAACCAGGGCCCGGCAAGTGGCAGCCATGAAGCCGCCACAGGGACAGTCCTGGACTTGGCTGGTGAGCCTCGAGGTAATTAACTTGATCCGGTAGGGAAATGTGAATCATCACCCCATGTTTGTGGGTCTGTTATAGCAATATCACTTGACTCTATTTATTTACGAAATTTATATGCCGCCCTTCTCACCCCGAAGGGGACTCAGAGCGGCTTACAAGTAAAAAGTAAATACAATATTATTATATTATTACCATAGCACAATATTAATATTATATTACATTGTACCATAACATTATACTGTAATATTATTACTAATATTACATTTAATATATAATATATAATTATAATATATGATGATCATTATTAGTAGTAGTATATTGTACTAGCCGTCCCCTGCCACACGTTGTTGTGGCCCACATGAGGGTTCTGTGTGGGACGTTTGGCCCAATTCTATCGTTGATGGGGTTCAGAATGCTCTGTGATTGTAGGTGAACTATAAAGCCCAGCAACTACAACTCCCAGATGTCAAGATTGTATTTTCCCCAAACTCTACCATTGTTCACATTTTGGGATATTGAGTATTCCTGCCTAGTTTGGCCCTGATTCATCATTGTTTGAATCCACATTGCTCTCTGGATGTAGGCAAACTACAACTCTAAAACTCAAGGTCAATGCCCACCAAACCCTTTTAGCATTTTCTATTGGTCATGGGAGTCCTGTGTGCCAAGTTTGGTTGAATTCCATCATTGTTGGAGTTCTGAATGCTCTTTGATTGTAGGTGAACTATAAATCCCAGCAACTACAACTCCCAAATGACAAAATCATTTATTTTTTTTTTGAGTGATGGTCACTCCTTGTGTTGTGAGACGTTTCGTTGCCAAATTTGGTGTGATTTCGTTCATTGGTCCTTTTGTTTTTAAGGTACTCATTATGCACAGAGCATTTTATATATATATAGATTACATTATAATATTATCAATATTATATGTATATACAATATATTATATTATATTATATTACATTACATTATATCTATATAAATAAAAATGTAATGTTCGTTTGTGGTATTCAGAAAACTCAAAAACCACTGGGGCAATTGGCACCAAATTTGTACACGATACACCTAACAACCCAATGTATGTCCTTCACTCAAAAAAACACTGAAAAACACAGCAGAAGGGACATAAAAAGCCCCAAAAAGCTAAATGACAATACAGAAAAAAGGGAAGAAAGAGGGAGGGAAAGAAAGAAGGAAAGAGAGAAGGAAGGAAGGAAAGAGGTAGAGAAGGAAGAAAGGAGAGAAAGAGGGAGGGAAAGAAAAAGGGGGAAGGAAGGAAAGTTAGAGAAGGAAGGAAGGAGAGAAGGAAAGAAAAAGGGAAAGAAGGAAGGAAAGAGGGAGAGAAGGAAGAAAGGAGAGAAAGAAGAAGTGAAGAAGGAAAGAAAGAGATAGAGAAGAAAGGAGAGAAAGAGGGAGGGGAGGAATAAGGGGGATGGAAGGAAAGTTGGAGAAGGAAGGAGAGAAGGAAAGAAAAAGGAAAGAGGGAGCGAAGTAAGGGGGAAGATGTAGAGAAAGAGAGAAGGGAAGCAAAGAGAGAAGGAAGGAAAGAAGTAGAGAAGGAAGAAAGGAGAGAAAGAGGGAGGGAAAGAAAAAGGGGGAAGGAAGGAAAGTTAGAGAAGGAAGAAAGGAGAGAAGGAAAGAAAAAAGGGAAAGAGGGAGCGAAGGAAGGGGGAATGTAGAGAAAGGGGGAGGGAAGGAAAGAAGGAAAGAGAGAAGGAAGGAAAGAGGTAGAGAAGGAAGAAAGGAGAGAAAGAGGGAGGGAAAGAAAAAGGGGGAAGGAAGGAAAGTTAGAGAAGGAAGGAGGGAGAAAAGGAAAGAAAAAAGGGAAAGAAGGAAGGAAAGAGGGAGCGAAGGAAGGGGGAAGATATAGAGAAAGAGGGAGGGAGAAGGAAGAAGAGAGAAGGAAGAGAGAAAGAGAAGAAGAGAAAGAGAGAAAGGGGGGGAAAGAAAAAGGGGGAAGGAAGGAAAGGTAGAGAAGGAAAAAAGAAGGAAAGAAAAAGGGAAAGAAGGAAGGAAAGAGGGAGCGAAGGAAGGGGGAAGTAGAGAAAGAGGGAGGGAAGGAAAGAAGGAAAGAGAGAAGGAAGAAAAGAGACAGCAGAAGAGAAAGAAAAAGGGGAAGGAAAGAGAGAAGGAAGGAAGAAGAGAAGGAAAGGGGAAGGAAGGAAGGAAAGAGGGAGGGAAGGAAGGAGGGAACAAAGGAGAGAAAGAGGGAAGGTTGGCCACAGCAAAGCATGGCGGGTACAGCTAGTTATATTATAAGCACAGTACAGGAGATGAGATGGAACTGCCTTCCTGGACCCTCTCTTCACTCTGATCTCAGAGCTGCAGTTGGTGCTAATAGGAGCCAATTGTGTTTCTTTATTCGGTAGGCTGTTAGGTGCATTCAGATACCTACCTTGCACTTAGAAAAGTGACCACTTAGTAAAGAAGGAATCAAGCTTATACCTTTGAAACTAAGTAGTTTATTTTAGTAATAGTTTTCTTGGCTCTCTGCTCACTTTTTCAGCTGTGCATTTGAGGAAGAGGATAGATAACCCCAAAAGCTCTGGTGTATATACAATAGAGTTTTTTTTTTTTTGAGGTGTTGTCGAAGGCTTTCATGGCTGGAATCACTGGGTTGCTGTGAGTTTTACGGGCTCTATGGCCATGTTCCAGAAGCATTCTCTCCTGAGGTTTCACCCACTTCTATGGCAGGCATCCTCAGAGGTTGTGAGGTCTGTTGGAAACTAGGCAAGTGAGGTTATATATCTGTGGAATGTCCAAGGTGGGAGAAAGAACTCTTGTCTGCTTGAGGCAAGTGTGAATGTTGCAAAAAATCACCCTGATTATCATTGAATATCCTTGCCACTTCAAGGCTTGGCTGCTTCCTGCCTGGAGGAATTCTTTGTTAGGAGATGATTAGCTGGTCCTGATTGTTTCATTTCTGGAATTCCCCTGTTGTTTGAGTGTTTTTCTTGGTTTACTGTCCTGATTTTAGGGTATTTTTAAATACTGGCAACCAGATTTTGTTCATTTTCATGGTGATTAATTGCAACATTCACACTTGCCTCCAGCTAACACCTCCCAACAAAGGATTCCCTAATCCACAACCATCCAGGCTTTGAATCTGCAAGGATATTAAATGCTAATCAAGTTGGCCAATTGCACCATTCACACTTGCCTCCAACAGACAAGAGTTCTTTCTCCCAACCTGGACATTATTCCACAGATATATAAACCACTTTCATAGTTTCCAACAGACCTCGCAACCTCTAAGGATGCCATTAGCCACAGATGCTGGTGAAATGTCAGGAGATAATGCTTCTGGAACATGCCATACAGTCCAAAAAAATATACAACTTCTTCTTCTTCTTCTTCTTCTTCTTCTTCTTCTTATTATTATTATTATTATATTATTATGCCTGCCATAGATGTGGGTGAAATGTCAGGAGAGAATACTTCTGGAGCATGGCCAGACAGCCAGGAAAACTCACAGCAACCCAGGTTTCTGTTTGCTTGGGATCCTCTTCCCTCCCCCCAAAATGGGGAAATTATTAAGTGTTTTTCTTTCTGAAAATTATGGAGGAGGGAAACATTTAAGCAAGTGGGATGCCACCACAGAAAAGGCCCTCTCCCACATCAATGTCAGTGAAGTTTAGCTTCACAATATATACCCAGTCTGTCAACAGAAACACAGTAACATTGGATTTCTTCCCTTGCCAATGTTGGCAGGGGAGGAAAGGCATAGCCAGCATTGCTCCCAAGGGTGACAAAGCGCTCTCTTTCTGCAGGAATTGAAGATAAGCCCACCATTGCGTTTGCTGCAATCCCCACTGGCAGCCGGGTGATCCAGACCGTGGCCAGCCAGATGTCTCAGGGCGTCCCAGGACAAACGGTCACCATCCTCCAGCAAGCCACCCCGGTGGCCATCGGTCAACACCAGCTCCCCGTCCGAGCCGTGACGCAAAACGGAAAGCACGCTGTCCCCACCAACAGCATCACCAGCGGCACCTACGGTAGGTAGATGGGCCTATTCATGCATGCAACCATACATCCACTGGAAATGCAGAGTTTCCTTCTATGCTGATAATTCCCACCCCACTCCCTTATATATAGTATTAAATCCAGGGCTGTGGAAGGCCCGTGATTCCCATCTCCAGTGATCCTCACCAGTGTTTTCAGTGGGCCAGAAGCTACCACCACTTTGCTTCAATTTGTGAAGGGGTTTGTTTTGACCCAGGCATTGGGGGATCCTGACTTTTGGGTGGTTTTGAATCAGTCATGCTTTTATGTGAAAAATCACCTATGAAAAAGCAGTTTTCAAAAAAGGAGAGAGAGGTTGAGGGGACACTACAGTGTCCCAAAGGACACCTAAAATATAGGTTGGAATTGTCCCCATATGAAAGTCTTCACTTGGGTGCTGGGCAGGATGGGGTTTGTGGAGGACATTGGCAGGGCTGTTGCACATGTTTAGGGTGCTAACTATAACCTGCAATGTCATTGGAGGGAGGGCCATTGATGTTTGTTTGTTTGTTTGTTTGTTTGTTTACAGTATTTATATTCTGCCCTTCTCACCCCGCAGCGGACTCAGGGCAGATTACAATGTACATGGCAAACATTCAATGCCATAGACACACAACATCATATATAGACAGACACACAGAGGCTATTTAACATTCCAGCTTTTTTCATGAGGGTATTCTGGCCACCAGGGGAGCTGTTGCTTCACCGTCCATTTGTGACACTGATGAAGTACTTCCTCATTACTTACTTACTTAGGCGATCCCTCATAGTCTGAGTAGGATTGTCCTTCAAGATCAATGTCCTGGCAGTGGGTCTGTAGGTGACTGTGGCCCTATTCTTGACCCGCATGTTCTCCCGAAGTGAGGGCATTGGTTTCCAGGTGGAAGGCGGTCCCGGTCGGGGTTGGCTTGACGCACCTTCCTCATGGCACGTTTCTCTCTTTCACCCTCCATTCGTGCCTCTTCAAATTCACAGCTGACCTCCATCTGGAGCGCTCAAGGGCCAGGGCTTCCCAGTTCTCAGTGTCTATGCCAGAGTTTTTAAGGTTGGCTTTGAGCCCATCTTTCAATGTCTTTTCCTGCCACCAACATTCCGTTTTCCATTCTTGAGTTCAGAGTAGAGCAACTGCTTTGGGAGACGGTGGTCGGGCATCCGGACAACATGGCCGGTCCAGCGGAGTTGATGGCGGAGGACCATCGCTTCAATGCTGGTGGTCTTTGCTTCTTCCAGCACGCTGACATTTGTCCGCTTGTCTTCCCAAGAGATTTGCAGGATTTTCCGGAGGCAGCGCTGATGGAATCGTTCCAGGAGTTGCATGTGACGTCTGTAGACAGTCCATGTCTCACAGGCACATAGCAGGGTTGGGAGGACAATAGCTTTATAAACAAGCACCTTGGTATCCTTACGGATGTCCCGGTCCTCAAACACTCTGCTTCATTCGGGAAAATGCTGCACTCGCAGAGCTCAGGCGGTGTTGTATTTCAGTGTCGATGTTGACTTTGGTGGAGAGGTGGCTGCCAAGGTAGCGGAAATGGTCAACATTTTCTAATGTTACACCATTAAGCTGTATCTCTGGCATTGGAAAGGGATTGGCTGGTGACTGCTGGAAGAGAATTTTGATTTTATCGATGTTCAATGACAGGCATGCACATTGTAATTGGCCCTGAGTCCTCTGCATGGTGAGAAAGGCGGAATATAAATACTGTAAATAAATAAATAACCCTCTGTTTCTTTCTCCAGCCCTCACCAATCCCTTGCAGCTCCTTGCGGCCCAGGCCAGCTCCTCCACTCCAGTGGTCGTCAACCAAGCAAGAGAAGCTGGGACAAAAGACACGGAGGAGCTTTCCAATGAGCCGGAGGTCAAGCGGCCTCGGATGGAGGAGTCCAAGGCAGGAGGAGCGGCTCTGCTGCAAACCGGCGGCGTCATCACCTCCGCCACCCCACAAGGACAGGCTGCTGGCGAATGAGGAACCCAGAGGTTCGGAAATGCAGCGGCAGCGGCTTTGGTGGAGATGATTTTTTTTTTGTAAAAGAAAAAAACCAAGAGATATGACTGTAACGTCTTTTTTTTTTTTCCCAGCGAGATGTTTCTACCAACGCAAAGGAAAAGCTCCCTTCAAAGCATGTTTTTAAAGCAAACAGGTCAGCGGTTTTTCGGATCCCGAGGTGCCAAACAAATACGCAAATAAATAAGCCCCCACCCCATCCCCCCACTGACCTGTGGTCTGAAAAATCCTCTTTTTGCTTTTCACTTTGGAGATTATTTTTCTCTCCTTTTTAGATTTTAAAAAAACAAATAATAATAATTAATAATTAATAATAAAGACAATTTGATTGTATGACTGCTGGGATTTCCCACCCAACACCCCTCCTCCCCTTCCTTTTCTTTCTTCCCCTCCAAAGCATGGTAGTTTTGTGAGAGCATATTAAAAACACAGGACAGAAGCATGTATTCGAGTGGGGTGGGGAGGGCAGGAGGCAGCGGTGGGGCATTCAGTCTCCAAAGACGACTCCTTTCTTTCTCTCTTTCTCACATTTCTCTCCCTCTCATGCATTCAGACAGCTTGGAAATGCTACTTTTTGGAGGTTGCGACTCCCAGAATTTCCCATCTTCTTGGATGTGAGATTTGGGATTTGTAGTCCAAAACAGGAACACTTCCATACTCTGAAATGAGAGAACTTTACATCCTTTCATCTCACGACTCCAAACCCTCAAAAACGGATGGATCCTCTCTTGTCTGAACATTTCTTTTGGAACCAGATTTTGCCATATGCACACAATTGCTGGTAAAATTATTGATAGTTTTCTAATTTCCTCCCCCTTGAAAAAAAAACAGGCCAGTTTCCCCATTCCTTGGTATCGCAGTTGTTCTATTTCCGGGACTCTATATTGCCAAAGTGAGTTGACCTGAGAACATAGCAATCTTTTTTTGGCTCATAACAGAATGACCCCATAAACATATTTTATTTTTGTGTCAGGAGCGACTTGAGAAACTGCAAGTTGCTTCTGGTGTGAGAGAATTGGCTGTCTGCAAGGATGTTGCTCAGAGGACGCCCAGATGTTTTACCATCCTGTGGGAGGCTTCTCTCATGCCCCTGCATGGGGAGCTAGACCTGACAGATGGGAGCTCACCTCGCTCCCAGATTCAAACCGGCAACCTTTAGGTCAACAGTCCTGCCGGCACAAGGGTTGAACCCATTACGTCACTGGGGACTCCTAACCATATGACTGTCTGCAAGGACGTTGCCCAGGGGACACCCAGATGTTTTGATGTTTTACTATCCCGTGGGAGGTTTCTCTTGTGTCCCTGCATGGGGAGCAAGATCTGACAGACGGAGCTCACCTCGCTCCCAGATTCAAACTGCCGACCTTTTGGTCAGCAGTCCTGCCAGCACAAGGGTTGAACCCATTACGTCACTGGGGACTCCTAACCACATGACCGTCTGCAAGGACGTTGCCCAGGAGACACCCAGATGTTTTGATGTTTTACCATCCTGTGGGAGGCTTCTCTCGTGTCCCTGCATGGGGAGCTAGAGCTGGCAGATGGGAGCTCATCTCGCTCCCAGATTCGAACCGCCAACTTTTCGGTCAGCAGTCCTGCGGCACAACAGTAGAACCCATTGCGCCACTGGTGCTCCTAACCACATGACTGATACCCATGGGTTCATTTACTTCTTTCTGAACAAAATAATTCCCTTTCTTGGCATGTCCTAGGTCCTCCAACGTGACCCTATGATATGCTCCTGCCAGTTTATTCAATAGGTGGTTTTGCATATCCATGAGAAGTCCCGAAGCATATTGAGGGTTGTATTGTCATTTCTAGTTGAGAGTGTTAAATTAACACGGTGCACGAAAGGTTTAGTTTCCATGTCAGTCTACAAATCTTTTTACATATTTGGGGATTTGTGGAACAGCTCACACCATCTTCAGTGTCATTCCGGTTCATTTAGCAACACCACATACAAGAGAAAGAGAGAGAAATGGGATTTATAGAATCAGTTTTCAACACAGTGCCAGTTTTCAATGCTGGTCCTGACACCGAAAGAGCCAATGTTGTGCGTGTGGCTAAGATGTTGGACTCAGTCTAACGAGAGGGGTTCAGATGCCCTGTCTATCCATGGCGCTCACGGGGGGACCTTGGACCAGTCACTGTCTCTTTTAACCTACCTCACAGGGTTGTTGTGAGGATAAAGTTGCGGGGAGGGGCGGGGGGAGAACTCTGTATGCCACCGTGCCCTCCTTGGAGGAGGGCAGAATAAAAACGAAATAAAAGAATAGCCTTGCCGTAGTTTGAGGTATCGGGGTGTATGATCCTTCCCAATGAATCCCATGATAATAGTTGTTTATTTATTTCTCGTGTTAGGGCAGCCAGTCAATTATATTACATTTCTAACAGAACAAAGCAAACAAACAGAGAAAATACAAATGTGTGAGTTTGGTAGTTGATTAAATGTCCTTTGACCAGTATCTGGCCACTTGGAGTGCTTCTGGTGTTGCTGCAAGAAGGTCCTCCATTGTGCATGTGGCAGGGCTCAGGTTGCATTGCAGCAGGTGGTCAGTGGTTTGCTCCTCTCCACACTCGCATGTCGAGGATTCCACTTTGTAGCCCCATTTCTGAAGGTTGGCTCTGCATCTTGTGGTGCCAGAGCGCAGTCTGTTCAGCGCCTTCCAAGTCGTCCAGTCCTCTGTGTGCCCAGGGGGGAGTCTCTCATTTGGTATCAGCCATTGGTTGAGGTTCTGGGTTTGAGCCTGCCACTTTTGGACTCTCGCTTGCTGAGGTGTTCCAGCGAGTGTCTCTGTAGATCTTAGAAAACTATTTCTAGATTTAAGTCATTGACTTGCTGGCTGATACCCAAACAAGGGATGAGCTGGAGATGTCTCTGCCTTGGTCCTTTCACTATTGGCTGCTACTTCCCGGCGGATGTCAAGTGGTGCGATACCGGCTAGACAGTGTAATTTCTCCAGTGGTGTAGGGCGCAGACACCCCGTGATAATGCGGCATGTCTCATTCAGAGCCACATCCACTGTTTTAGTGTGGTGAGATGTGTTCCACACTGGGCATGCATACTCAGCAGCAGAGTAGCACAGCGCAAAGGCAGATGTCTTCACTGTGTCTGGTTGTGATCCCCAGGTTGTGCCAGTCAGCTTTCGTATGATATTGTTTCTAGCACCCACTTTTTGCTTGATGTTCAGGCAGTGCTTCTTGTAGGTCAGAGCACGGTCCAGAGTGACTCCCAGGTATTTGGGTGCGCTGCAATGCTCCAGTGGGATAATAGTTGTAATTTCATGATAATAGTTGTAATTTCATGATAATAGTTGTAATTTCATGATAATAGTTGTAATTTCATAAGATCGTAGTAATTTAGGGGACATGCATTCAGGAAGATGCAATCCGAACCCTCATGACAGATGGCCTCTGTTTAGAATCCTTCAAAGAAGGAGATTCCACCACACTCCAAGGTGGTGTCTTCCGTTGTCAAACAGCTCTGACTGTCAGGAAGTTCTTCCCTAATATTTAGGTGGAATGTTGTAGGTTTTTTCGGGCTGTATGGCCATGGTCTAGAGGCATTCTCTCCTGATGTTTCACCTGCACTTTGACAAGCATCCTCAGAGGTAGTGAGGTATAGAGACTCCTCAGTCAGGGGGGGGGGGGGGGGGGGGGGGGGAGGGGATGCTGAAGTGCAGGCGATACGTCAGGAGAGAATGCCTCTAGACCATGGCCATACAGCCCGAAAAAACCTACAACAACCCAGTGAATCTGGCCATGGAATCTCTTTCCCTGCAGTTCCACATTTAGGTGGAATCTCTTTCCCTGCAGTTTTAATGGTTTAGGTCAGTGGTTCCCAACTTTTTTGTTGACCAGGGACCACTTTGACCCGCGACCACTCTCTAACATGAGTACCAAAAGGATTACGAATGAGTTTTTGGTCAACTTTAGGTTTGTTTGGTTATTTGGGGTTCCGATTCAGAAACTTGCATTGGACAGACCTCATCATAGAATCCTAGAGTTGGAAGAGACCTCATGGGCCATCCAGTCCAACCCCATTCTGCCAAGAAGCAGGAATATTACATTCAAATCACCCCTGACAGATGGCCATCCAGCCTCTGTTTAAAAGCTTCCAAAGAAGGAGCCTCCACCACACTCCGAGGCAAAGAGTTCCACTGCTGAACGGCTCTCACAGTCAGGAAGTTCTTCCTCATGTTCAGATGGAATCTCCTTTCTTGTAGTTTGAAGCCATTGTTTTACGTCTTAGTCTCCAGGGAAGCAGTAAACAAGCTTGCTCCCTCTTCCCTGTGGCTTCCTCTCACATATTCCTCCTGTACCAAACTTTCTCATAAGGAAGTAGGGCCATGGGCATATCTGCTTTGTTAAATGAGATATATCTGAACTATCTATAGCCAGGAGTGCATCTACACCAGTGGTTCCCCTATTTTGACCAGGGACCACTCTCTAACATGAGTACCAAAAGGATTACGAATCAGTTTTTGGTCAACTTTAGATTTGGTTTTGTTATTTAGGGTTCTGATTCAGAAAATTGCATTGGATAGACCACCTCAGCTCTAGTTTCTGATACAGAACATATGCCACCCAGTTGTCACCATCTGCTGGCCGTCAGAATAACGATATTTGATAATCTAGAGCTGATGTGGTCTATCCAATGCACTGTTCTGAATCTGAACCCCAAATAACCCCAGGAGCAGGCCTAAAAACGAAGACATCAAGGTGCCCCTACTTCCAGGTGCCACATAGAATGGCTCCGTTCAGGGGGAAGAAGGAGGAAGAGAAGCAGCAGCGAGAAGGCTTGTTATCATGCCTTTCGCGGGTAGTTAGTCTCTCCTCTCCCAACATCCACATTGACTTGACACTATAAGAGGGTTTTGTGAGACCAGTCGCTCTCATACAGTAATGGTGAAGCCATGGACCATATTTTAGTTTTTGGAGACTACTAGTGGTCCACGGACCACAGATTGGGAAGCACTAGTTTAGGTAGAAGGATGCTCTCAAACAGATGCGTTTGTATACATATGTGTATGCCTTGAGGGAATCTTAAGCTTCCCTCAAGGCGTACACATACTTATACAAACACATTTCAAGCATCTGTTGCTTGCATTCTTTCAGAGCAAAGGAACAGGATCCGTCTTTGTCCCAAGTCTCCAGAGTCAAAGCGATGCACATCCAACTTGCCAGCCTGCATTCCTCCTTTGCAAACACAAGAGAGCTTTTGTTCAGCTCCCTCGCCAGCTGTCCACTTTTGCTCCGGCGAAAAAGAACTGACAGCAGGGACAGTCCCATGGCTTTTTTTGTGGAATACGGAGGATGAATGAAATGGCTAGTGTGGCTTCCTTGCTCACGGCACCCAACATGGACAGGCCTCGGTGGAGAACAGAGAGGCTTGGGAAAGTATGGACTTAAAGACAGAATGTGGGTGGATCTACTAACACAATTCCTGGTGAGGCAGAATGGAACACTCTAATGCAGTGGTTCTCAACGTTCCTAGTGCCGCGACCCCTTAATACAGTTCCTCATGTTGTGGTGACCCCAACCATAACATTATTTTTGTTGCTACTTCATAACTGTAATTTTGCTGCTGTTATGAATCGTAATGTAAATATCTGATATGCAGGATGTATTTTCATTCACTGGATCAAATTTGGCACAAATACCCAATATGCCCAAATTTGAATACTGGTGGGGTTGGGATGGGAGGATTGGTGGGAGGATGGGAGGATGGGGTTTGGTGAGTTTGGGAGTTGTAGTTCAGCTACATCCAGAGAGCACTGTGGGCTCAAACAATGATGGGTCTGTACCGAACTTGGCACAAATACTCAATATGCCCAAATATGTACACTGGTGGAGTTTGAGAAAAATAGACCTTGACATTTGGGAATTGTAGTTGCTGGGATTTATAGTTCACCTACCATCAAAGAGCATTCTGAACTCCACCAATGATAGAATTGAACCAAACTTGGCACACAGAACCCCCATGACCAACAGAAAATACTGGAAGAGTTTGGTGGGCATTGACCTTGAGTTTTGGAGTTGTAGTTCATCTACATCCCGAGAGCACTGTGGACTTATGGATCTGTACCAAACTTGGCACGAATACTCAATATGCCCAAATGTGAACAGTGGTGGAGTTTGGGGAAAATAGACCTTGACATTTGGGAATTGTAGTTGCTGGAATTTATAGTTCACCTACAGTCAAAGAGCATTCTGAACCCCATCAACGATAAAATTGGGCCAAACTTCCCACACAGAACCCCCATGACCAACAGAAAATACTGTGTTTTCTGATGGTCTTTGTTGACCCCCCTGACACTGCCTTGCGACCCCCGCAGGGGTCCCGACCCTCAGGTTGAGAAACGCTGCTCTAATGTCTGGTTTGGAAAATTCAACAGGAAAGAAGCAGTTTTTATGGAAATGGAAAAATTGACGTTCACCTTCTCCATGTTTTCTGTTTCACTCTAAAGTTGGTTTTCCGCATCTATGGCAGCTTTGGTTATTTACAGATTTGATTAAAATCCATGGGCAAACCTTTTTTACCTTGGGGCTGCATTGCACGCCTGACTAGGAGGGAGGGGAGCCGGGTACACGCTGGGTTTGGAGGGGCAGGAAAGAGTCATCCTCAGGTTGTTCTCCCAGCATAAGGATGGGGCTGCTCAACCCATCCTTATACTGGGAGAAAGGCAAGACACACGGCGACTGCCCGCCCTGATCCTCCTCCCAATCCTCGGGACTGTCCCCTTGGCATTATGCCAGGAAGAGGGTGAGACAGGCGATGGCTGAGAGTGCTCCGGAGGGCTCTTAGCTGCCGTGAGCCTTCCTCGAGCCGTCCTCCTGGCATAAGGATGGGGCTGCACATACTGTCCTTATACCAGGAGGAGCCCCATCCTTATGCCAGGAGGACGGCAAGACATACAATGGCTAATAGTGCACCAGACGACTCAGCTTCTGCATGCCTTCCTCCCTTGTCTTTTTGACACAACGATGCAGTGGGCCACCATGTCCTTATACCATTTGTTGTTGTTCATTCGTTCAGTCGTCTCCGACTCTTCGTGACCTCATGGACCAGCCTACGCCAGAGCTCCCTGTCGGCCGTTACCACCCCCAGCTCCCTCAAGGTCAGTCCAGTCACTTCAAGGATGCCATCCATCCATCTTGCCCTTGGTCGGCCCCTCTTCCTTTTGGCTTCCACTTTCCCCAGCATAATTGTCTTCTCTAGGCTTTCCTGTCTCCTCATGATGTGGCCAAAGTACTTCAACTTTGTCTCTAGTATCTTTCCCTCC